TGTGCTGTGGATATTTAAATCTAGAGACTGGAGCCATGAAGAGACAAGACACATCTTTCTACAAACCTGGAAAAAAAGCCACAGGCCTGTAGAAAAATCTGAAATCTAAAAATAAATAATAATGAAGAAGAAGAGATTGGATTTATACCCCGCCCTTCACTACCCGGAGGAGTCTCAGAGTGGCTTACAATCTCCTTTCCCTTCCCCTCCCCACAACAGACACCCTGTGAGGGAGGTGGGGCTGAGAGAGAGCTCTCTTGAGAACTGCCCTTGAGAGAACAGCTCCAAAAGAACTTGTGACTGACCCAAGGTCACACCAGCAGCTGCATGTGGAGGAGTGGGGAAACAAACCCAGTTCTTCCAGGTTAGAGTCCATGCTCCTAACCACTACACCAAATTGGTTAACCCCCCCCCCCATAATAGAAGCAGCACCTGTAGCTTTAAACTAATGCCCTCAGTGGCTGTTGCTAGGCAACTACACCAGTATTGCCAGAGTTCAAGCCTTGGTTTCTGTCAGTAAAAGGCATAGGAGAGGGGCAGGAGCTTTTCCCGAGCTGTTGTGGCCTTTGAGGAGGACTCACCAGGGCCAGGTCCACCAGCAACCACCAAGCAACTTATTGCCAATTGGTATTATGTGGCTCTAGGGCTTCTTCTGCTCCCAGGTGATATGGCAGGGTGACTTGCATGACTCACCCAGGCCTGGTTGTTTACTACTGTTTAACAGCCACCACCGCACGAAAGCCAGTGTGGTGTAGTAGTTACAGTTTCATGCTAGGATCTGGGAACTTGATTTGAGTCTTCACTCTACCTCCCCCCCCCCCCCGAGTCAGTGACACAATTTGCGATTTTGAAGTTTTTACGCCACCTGGAAATGTTTTAATTATGTAGATTGTTTTATTATTATTAACGTTTTATCATTCGTGTTGTACACCGCCCTGAGCCTTGTGTACTCAGGAGAGGGGAGTTTATAAATTTAAATTATAAATAAATATATCATGGAGGCTCATTGGGTGACTTTGGGCCAGTTCTAACCTACCTCACAGGTTTGTTGTGAGGATAAAACAGAGAAACGAGAGTGGTGTAAGTTACTTTGGTGTTCCCATTTGTGGAGAAAGCGGGGGTATAAATGAGGTAAATAAATACCAGTATAGCCAAAGATGGGGGGGGGGAGCAGGTAAAAGGCAGGTTGGTTAGTGGTTGGAAGGAGAGAAAGAAGCAGGGAAAGGTGAGGGACTGGATGAGGGAAAGAAAAAATAGTGTGGGGAGGGATGTGCAGGAAAAAGTGAGGTGCTCCCTACAAATCCTTGTGGGTTCCCCATTGTGCAACTGGCCCACAGTTTCTCCAAGCAGAAGATGCCAGAGGGAGGGAAGGATGAAAATGAGGGGACAGATGAAGGTAGGTTGGCTGGTGGATGGGATAGGAAGGAGGGAAACTGGAAAAGGGGAAATGCTATAAAGGCTGCCAGGGAAGGCAGAGGGAGGGAAGGATGAAAATGAGGGGACAGATGAAGGTAGGTTGGCTGGTGGATGGGATAGGAAGGAGGGAAACTGGAAAAGGGGAAATGCTATAAAGGCT